GCAGGAAGCCACAAGGGGAAAAGTGCCTCTTCTCTTCCCCCACCACGCAGCTCTGTTCATGAATCCTCAGCCCCTGGCTGGGCAGGGCTCATTAAGCAGCTGTGGGACTGTGCTACTGCACAGCTCAGAGAGAAAACGGATTGAATCACTCTGCAAATTCTAGTTAGCAAAACTGCCCTTTTCTGGAAGACTATCTTGGTTACAACAATCTTGAAGCCCACTGAAATGAATGAGGGCCACTCATGTGGCCCATTCAAACTCATCATTTCATTTACACAAAAGCATTCTTTTAATCTTACCTGCTGCTTACAACAGTTGTTATGAAATTAAAAAAAAAAGTTATTTACAATAGAACCTCAGAGTTATGAACACCAAAAGTATGAAATGACACACCTCATTTGGAACGTAATCAGGCAGTAGGAGAGACACAAATATAGTACAGTAGTGTATTAAACATAAAGTACTAAAAAATAAAGAGAAAGCAGCATTTTTCTTCTGCATAGTAAAGTTTCAGAGCTGTATTAAGTCAAAAATCCCTTGCAAACTTTCAAAAGGACAACCATAATGTGCTCAGTGTTATGAACATTTCAGGGTTACAAACAACCTCCACTCCTGAGGACATTACTGGGGCATTTGTAAATTTGAGGTTCTACTATATTTCAAAAGTTTGCTGTAATGAGTAATTTCATGAGCAAATATCTTAATTCAGTCATATTAAGATATTATTTGATAATATATAAACCACATATTATAAACTAGTACTTAATATTTTATTTTTACGACTGTGGCAGTTACATCTGTGAATCTGACTGTAGAATAGAGAAGACAATCTTTTACTATGACATTCAGTAAATATATTGTTTAAGCTCACCATAATAATGCATATTCACTGTACAGCCACAATTTCTTGATGGGGAATTGTTCTTGTTGTTCATATTACACAGAGATGTGTTATACAGTGATAAACCAAGTCTGACCATTCTATTTCTTTGTTTTGTAAGTCAACCTAATCAGGGAAAATGGAAGGGAAGTTTTATGTAAAACATTTATTAAACCAAATAATGGTAATAGAAAAATCAGCAATAAAACCAAAGACGCTTTTACTAATTGTAGGTTTTTTTACTACAGATTTCTGTCAAAAAATAGCAACCCAAATATTTCAACTTTAAACCAACAACTTAAATGGAAAACCAAACATTTTCCACAGAAAACTTTAAATTAAAAAATGAAAATTAAAAATATATGCAGAAATAATTGTAGAAAAACCAATTGCCCAACGAGTTCTAGGAAAAACCTATTTAATAGTCTGTGGCATTTCCAACAGATTCTAGCTAATAAACCCAAAGCAATATTAGACAGTAGCACTTATACAGTGTCTTGTTAGTTCCCTGGATTCAGCCTTGCAACTGAATTGACTGAAAGTGCAGTCATATGCCCATGTAGAGGAAGTTACAGGAGCAAGGCTAGCTTTTAACTGCACAACTAAATGCAATTGGAGAGCAACAATCTCAAGGTGCAACAGGACAGCCCTCTCAATGTGCTTCAACCTTGACCAGAGCAGATGAAAGGATAATTCTAGTTCCATGGCCACTCTTTCACAATGCCTCCGCTGTGTGCTAACGAAAGGACCGTCTATAACAATTTTCCCATAACAATTTTCCCACGGAGTCCAAGGGGTGCATTACACTGTCACATCATGCTATAGCACACTAGGCCGCTACATGGAGTTAACAGGACATGGCCTCTATTAGCTGAGCATCTTGTGATGCTTTACAAACACAGTAATTTCACAAAGCCTCACAGCACCTAAGAGAATGAGGGACCATAACAAAAATAATACTACTATGTTAGGGTGCAACAGCACCCTGTCAGATTCTTCTGGGTCAACATGTACAAAGTCTGTGAGAAAGACTGTGTCCATCTGACGTGCACAATATCATTGTGTGTCAGTCTGTATCTGTCCAGCATGCACAATATCACTGTGCCTAAGTCTGTCTGTCTAGCTTGCACAAAGTCATTGTGTGTGTGACTGTGTACCTTATATGCACAATGTCACTGTGTATGAGAGACTAATAGTGTGTGTCTGGTGGACATGCACAGTGTCTTTGTGTGTGAGAGTGTCTGATACACGATATGGGGTGGGCGTGTGTGTGTGTACACAAAAATAACGGGTAGTCCTGCTGTAGCACCTTAGACACGTCATAGATGTAGGTCTGTGGGCCCGTGTCTGTCTGACACACGCAAAGACAGTGTGCCTGAGAGCATGTTGGTGTTTCACACGCTGCCATGCACGTCTCTGCCAAACGCTCCTAAAATCTTGTTGTTCCCGTCTGATGGAAAGACTCCCGTGGCCCCTTTAAGAGAACACTTCCGGGTCTGCGCCCGTGATGTCATTCCTCTCGGCCAATGGCACACGGACATTTCACTCGGGACCCAATCCGAGTGGAGGGAAGGGGGGCTGGTTGCCATGGGGACAGTCGCTAGGCCTAGGCCCCGGCTGGCCGGGAGAAGCATGGAGGGGCTCCCCCGCGCGCAGCCGCGAGACCTGAGCGGGGGGCTGGAGAGCCTGCCCGTGTCGGTGTGGCCGCCGTCCGAGGAGCCTCCGACCTTCCAGGTAGGAGGCGGCTGCGGCCTGCCCCGAGCAGGAGCCCCCGCCG